GCGTGCAGCTGGCGGCCCTGGCGCTGCTGTACGCAGAGTGCTGCGAGCGACTGTGTGACGCGGAGGCCATCGTGTACGTGGGGGACGTGCTGGCCGCCTTCCTGCTGGGTGAGTGCGGGCGGGGCGGGCCGGGCCGCGGCCGCGGGGAGTATAGCGCGCGCTATGTGCAGAGCTGTGCTGCGTGGGCGCGTCGGCGGCGGGGTGCGCGGCGTACTGGCGCGCCGGGCTGCTGGCGCCGGCCGAGGCGCGGCTGGTGGCGCAGTGCGCGCTGCCTCGCTGGCTGGACACGCGTGAGTATACACTTGTACGAGGATGCGACAGGCGCGCGTGTATGTACTCGGAGTGCGCAGGGTGGGGCGCGGCGTGCGCGGCGCCGGGGCTGTGCCGGCTGCCGGGAGTGTTCGTGGCGCCCACGCAGACGCTGCTGCTGGCGGCGCTCGGCCGCGACTGCGACGGCGACGGCTGCGACGGTTGCGACGGCTGCGAGGAGCGTGCGGAGTGCAGTAGTTCATGAAGCGACGCGCCTGTATGGCACTGCTAGTAGAGAGACCAATAGAATGGTCAATGTGATACATGACACGACTGGTACTGTGGCCTTAGAGTTAGCCTTGTAGTGGGAGTGCTAAAGGAATACGATGCGAACGATTTTCTAATATGGGGAACAATCTAAATGTATTAATATTATATTCTTTCTTAGGCTCGATTTCGAACCACAAGGGACCAGCCACTGTGTCTATGTATGCTCGATAATACAAATTGCTAAAAAAACATTTATTATGTACCTATGTTAAAACATTAAAAATATTCTTTTACGCTTGTATGAGGAATGGAACATTACAGATATGGAATCCATGTTATTCTATACATATGTATAATAAAACTGTAGACGTTTAAATTCTGTACATTGAAAATATGTAAAAAAATATTAGGGGTGTACTAGACATACACCGAAAACACAAATGAGATTAAAAAAAATTTTGTCTGTCTGTCTGTCGGTCGGTCTGTATGTTCACGCATCACGCAAAAACTACCGGTCTGAGTACGATGAAACTTGGTATGATTATATTTTAATCTCATGGGCACAACATTGGGTACTCTTTATCCCGAGAAATTATATACACACAGTTACTGTACCACACGCAAAATATAAGGTTATCGAATATCAGGATGCACGCAGTGGACTTAATGTAGGTAACTGTAGGGGCGATGGTTGTAGCTAGTTAAACTGTCAAACACCAAGCGGTCACCGGTGACCGCGACCTATTGAAGACCGTCATTATTGACGGTACTCGACGAGTTAAACCGATATTGTGATTGCGAAAACATCCAAGTTTCAAAGTAAGAAAAATAGTTTATTTGCACACCGTCACAAAATTCAAAAACACGAAAAAAGTATTAAAAAACAGTGAAGACGACGCAAAAACGCTCAGCTTAATTAAATGCCATGAGCCGAGCGCAAGAGCTGATTTTCAGCACTTGACCATAACTATATGCTATATATAGCACAATTATTAATACATTAATATTATTAATACATTAATAATTGTACTTAATAATAGTTAAAAATATATATACTATATTTTATAGACCACCTGCGATACGTAACTAAAACAATTTATATAAAAATATCTGAAGTAGGAAAAAACTATTGAATATAAAATAAGTCTCGCAAACTAAACGCATGCTTGACACTGACATTGACATCACAGATGTCACATTCATTTGTATTTGTACCTCAAGCGCACGCGATGCGCGTCATCGCTTGTTTGTATATATGTTCGTGTTCGTTACGCAGTCACGTCAAAACGACTGAAGGGACCGGGATGAAATTTAGAACAGAGGGAGATTATGGTCTGGAGTAATACACATAACTTTTTATCCCTGGGAACGCGGGCGAAGCCGCTGGCAGAAGCTAGTCTATAATAATTTTGTTATGTCGACTGTGTGAAAAACATACG